CATAAGTCTCAATCATTAATGACTACAATACACAATGTTATGCTGTGTGTTTGTGGCAATAAAAAAATTATAAATGGATGAAATTTTTGCTAAATATTTCGAACTATACTTGTACTCGTATATATGTATGTATGTAAAAGAATAATATTTGTTGGAAAAACATTCAAAAATAAAGAAGAAGAAAAAACAGGTAGGTTTATTAATATTTTGTTTATTTGTTCATTAAATGATCACTTATCACATTATACGCGCAGAGAAAGACTTTCACCTTTAAAACGCTCAATTTTTATCTTCATTTCTTCTTCTTTTTTTTCTACCTTTTTTTTTCATTGGAATTTCGGAATTTTTGAGCATTTCATTTTATTTTTATTTTTTATGCTTTTGTATATTTCTTCATTATTAAAGTTATGACTGTTATTTGTGCAATAAACCTGTATTTTTAAGCGAAAAATTTAAGGAATGTAAAAATTATGTTTTGTGCAAATTGGAAATGCAATTATAATTTACAATAATTAATAAACCTTTTGAAAATATTATTGAATAATTCTTCAACCTTATCAGCGCTGAATTTTACAATTATTGCCTATATAGAAATGATGAAATATATATTTGGGTTGCAAAAGATTCTCGATTGTCGAATAAATACGAATAAAAATTTTTGACTCTGAAAAAGATTTAAAAGGTTAAAATTGGGGCTTTAATCTGTGCAACTCGTCAGAATAAAAAATATGTTCTAAAGTATATAAAACTAAATATAAATCTAAGGGCGGAAAGGATTTAATCTAAAATGTGAGGGATATACACTTTTAATCGACGAAGCAAAATATATTTTATGGATTTTTAACTCAAAGGGAATCATAATCAACCAGAGATTATTTTGTTTTTTTTTTTTTTTTTTTTAAATAATATTATAAATGCATTCAACTTACAAAGTCCAAGAAGTACTTTCAGAGAATGAGTTTGGCAACTAATGTCCTTTTAAATTTTTCTTTGCAACACATTATTTAGATGAAAACATTTAAAAGTTTATTGCATCTTTGAATTCAGTTAAAATTATTTTGGAGAAAACGGTTCGATCCGAAACAACCCATTTTTACAATAAACTTTTTTACAACCATATTTGTTTGACGCAAATTTATTTATTTTGAACTTCAATCCCAACATATTTTCCATCCCTATAACATATGAAAATCAAAATATAGTATATTTTTGAAACCAGACGTTTATATGTTGTTAAATCAAGAATCAATTATTATGAAAAAATAATTAGATAAATTGACAATAGAGATAAAATTTTGTCGTTGTAAAAACCAAATTTCGACATGCAAATGCACAAAAAATTAAAGTCTCAACAATTATATGAACACCAGTACATACATACGACACTATTAAACACTAGTTAATAGTTCATTACACAAGTTATTTCAATATACAGAAACAATCGAGAAGTCGCGTCTCTGTTAGACGTTAAAATGACTTCATTAAATACACTGACGTATGGAATTTAAAAAAACTTAACGTCTGAAATTTTACTACCCAGCAATATTCGACGTCATTAAAGTATGAGTACTGTATGAAAAACACAGTAGCTCCATGATCCAAGAAAATAATATCAATACTTTGGATTTGAAAAATTTCAAGAAAATATGTATAAATAATCAGAAAGAATTTATATTATCCGTCAATGAATTAGAAGAATAATTTTGGCATATTATTGAATTTCTAAAAGACACTTTAACTAAAAATCAAATTTCTACAAATATAATTTCAAAAAATTGTCAAAAAATTTCAAGTCCAACACAAAAAAAATGTATAAATAAATATTATATAAAAAAATTAATAATAATCAAACAAAAATTTTGTATGAGTTACAATGATAAATTTTTCTAACAGAAGGAGTGATCTGATTTCCGAAAAATTAAAAACAAATTTTACTAAAATTGCATTTGAAAAATTTTTTACAATGCATGTTGCAGAGTGTATCCAGAATTCAAACAATCAAAGAATACCAATTACGAAACATTTTATTAAACAGAAAGAAATTGAAGCAAAAATGATTTGGAATCGAATATCATCGAAAAAGAAACTTCCTTTTCAGATTGTAGAAATTATAAAAGAACTTTACCCAGAACACAAAAATATAATAAGAGTTTTTTCAACTTTGATGGCAGGACCAAGATTTTTAAATAAAAGGAGTGTCAACGACAGCAAGGAAGAAAAGACACCATCATCAATTTTAAAGAGAGAAAATTTAAATGAACAATTTAGAAAAACAACAGCCTTTAGATTATCAAGAATAAAACATTTGAACGGACAAACAAAAAGAAGAAAGTGTCACTTTAATTTACTTAAAAATAAAAAATGTCATTTTAGTGAATACCTTCCAACTATCAGTGTCACATCGCTATCTAAATATTTGAAAAATTAATTTTTTTAATTGTGAAAATAAAATAATCAATTGATTTGCAATTGAAAATATTACTATTTAAAATTAAGTTGGAGTTTTAGATTTTCCTGTCAAATTATATTAGTTTTTCTTCTAAGTTTTTTTGGAAAATTTGGAAAGAAGCATAAACTTTTTATATTCTATTCATAACTTTAATTGGAGACTTAAAACATGAATTGATTAAGCCTAAAATCATTTGCTATTTGAGTATAAAGTTTTTATGCATTTCAACGCATTTGTGCACAATTCAAAATCATATAATTCATGAAAAGCATAAAAAATTTACAATGTTATAAATGATAATATAATGGAAAAAGCAAATCGTAATAATATTTTATCAAAACGCAAATATTGTAGAGGTGATAATCATTTTTCCGCGAAAATATTGCTTCTTGTTTTTATTGACTACATATTTTTATATTCCAAGTACACTCACATGCATATATTAAGTATAAGCTATTGATGATATAGTTACTGCTATTTCAACATATGCAAATGTTAAAAACACGTATATATATGTACAAGTGAAGATGTTGTAAAAGTGAGTTTTTGTTAAGCCCATCATTTAATTATGCAACTGCTTAATATTTGTATAAAAATCTCTTAACACCATCCATAAATGTGCATTTTATGACATTATATGCATGTTAATAAATTAATAATACAACAGTCTAATTAAGAGAAAAATAACATTTATTTGTTAAAAGAAAAAATCACCATTGTAATTTCGCTTTATCAATATGTTGTTAAACTTTATTTAAGTGAGTTCATTAAACCAAAATCGAAAATTTGTTGTTATTTAAAATTAATCATGTTTCATATTGTATTTGACGCCCTTATACATTATTTAATCTTAATTAATCTTATTATAGTATTACTTCTATTTTAAAACGCAATGCAGTCATACTCGTAAAAATGTTACATGGGAAACTTATTGTTTTATTTTTATGTTACATAAAAAATTATATAATATCGTTATTAAATACTTGATATTTAACTTCTCTTTTCTTCAATCTCATTTACAATACAATAAAATATTATTGATTAATGAAAAACTTTAAATTTAAAGACAGAATTATAAAAACAAGTTGAAGAAATTAAAAATATTCTAAATCACTAACAGTAATTATAAAAACTTTTCAACAATAAAAAAAAATACACACACCACTTTAATTTTCTATTCTATTTCAAGAAGTTCTCAGTCAATGATAAAAACAAATACCACAACATTTTAATATTACGGTAATTAGTATAAAAATTTTGTAAAAAAATGAAATTACTTTGTGCTACAAGCTTCATTCAATTTCAACTTTTAAGCTCTAGTTTAAAATCATATAAAGAACGTCTCACATTCTGTGCCTTTTAAATTCAAGGTAAAAATTTAACGAAAGAATTGCTCAAAGGAGAATAAAAATTATTTTACGTATTTGCATACACATCCGAATGTGTAGTTAAAAAACTGACCAAAGCATTGCTAATTTAAAAAAATATTCACCACACTTCACGATAAAAACAATTCAAACTTGAATGCAGCACAATTTTTTTTCCCTTGTTTTCTTTTTTTTTTCATTTTATTAATTTTAAATTTATAGATTTTCGAAGAAAATTTTATTCCGTCTTTAATAACATTATTTTTATCTTAAATATCCCAACCAGTATACCATTTAACATAACATTATACAAGTAAATAAAATGCATTAATTCACCACAAAAGAAAATGCAGAAACGAAAAAAAAGAAAATTTTATTTTCAACAATGTTATAAACCATTGTACAATCAGAGTTATATTAAGCGTGAATAATTTTGCAGATGCTTCAACATTATTTTTGGTATTTTCTTATTAACAAAATTCAATTTCAAAGCGCTTGTGGTTTCAGTTTGTCTTTGGACATCGAAACGTTAGTTTGGTAGAAAAAAAAAAATTAAAAATAAAATTTGGAAAGAAAAAGAAGTAAAAAAATAATCGAGAAAAATTAACGGATTAAAAATCTACAAAGTATAACGGTAAAATAAGGAAAAATTCACGAATAAAAAAGCAGAAAAAAAAAAAAAATTGCAAAGAAAATTTTTTTCAAAATTTAAAAAAAAAAGAAGTTTCTCGCTCAAGCCTTTTGAGTTTTGATTGCGTAGTTAGCATTGTTCTTTTTTTTCATTTTGAAAATTTTCGTCTTTGGAATTACAATTATTTTATTTGATTCTGTATTTTTAGTCAAAACGAGTCTAAGACGGTCTTTAACACAAAACTTTTAAGAATTTTTAACGAACAAAAAACTACTAGTAAGCAAGACAACTTTTAGTGAAACATTAAAAAAAAAAATTAAGTTAAAAAAATAAAAAAAACCATTAAAAAAATTTTCACTTTTCTTTTCGAAAAATTTATTATTTTCCTTCCGCTCAATTCTTTTAAGGAAAAATCAAAATTTTTCATCTAAAAATTTATTTTATTTAAAATACGCGGCCACACAACAATTTTATAAAAACCTCTACAAATTTTAAATTCTTTTAAAGTAAGAATTAAAATAAAAAAAATTTGTGCATAAAAAAAAATAAAAATATGAAATTATTTTTGGTGCTAATTGGCACATTGTGCCTTTTCAAAGGATCTGTATCACAAGGATTTTTATCACCATTCAATGATTTGGTATGTATGCTTAGTGTTGCCACATTACTTTACTCTTAAATATTTAATTTATTAAAATTTTTTCGTCAAAAAAATTAAAACTACCATTGAATTTTGCCATTTGGAAAATGTTTTTGTATTATAAAAAAAAGAACAAACAAAAAATAAACAAAAAAACAACAATTGGTAATCAGCACATATGATGGGTACCTTTTATATTTTATTCCGTGCCCAAATAGTTTAGGCAACAATAAAAAGAAACAGTAAAATAAAATTAAGATTAACTAAAACAAAACAATAAAAAAATACAAAAAACATGACAGAAGACGAAAAAGTTATGAACTTTCTCCCACAAACTTGAAAGTATAATGAACTGTGTAAATATTTTTATTCCAACTTTTTGTTATTTTATTCTTTTTTTTTTTTTAGTTTATTTTGGAGAAGCAAAAAAATAAAAGTATTTTTTTAACCAATTTAACTAAATTTGAAAAAAAATTACATACATTGATAACATCAATACCTTTAAGCGCGCACACATTCATGCCAATTACTGTCATCAATGTAAAATTATATTTCAATTACTATTATTTTTTGTATGAAACTGTTTGTACCTTATGGATGGGATCATGGATATTTTTCGTTTTTTTTTTTTATAAAGATTGGCTTAGAAAAAAGAAATAAGCAAAAAATATTAAAGATTTAGAAAATATAAGAGCCAAGCAATAATAATTGAAAGTAATTGAAGAAAATTATAAAATTAACCGAAGATAATTAATAAAATATTGATTTTATTGGAAATTTATTGTAATTATTACATATATTTACGATGTACAAGTATGTATACATATTATGTGCAAATAATAAAAAAAAAAAAACAATTGCGTGAAATATGGTCGTTTTTATTACATTTGTAACGCGCATTTTCCAAGGAGATTTAAATGTGAGAAAAATTGACGATTTCCGGTGTTGATTTTTTCTAAAAAGATGAGTTTATATTTATGGCTTTTTCTTTTGAACAAAAAAAAACTATATATATATATAAGTAGTTTCTTCGAAAACGAATTGGATGAAATTTTAACACATTTAATATTGGATAGATTATTTGATTGAAAGAAAACCAGCAAACATTATTGCATATAAAGGGTGATGGTGGTCAATAGTGAAAGTTGTAATTGGACACAATTATATTGATAAACTTTATTTATTAACCATTTTAGACATTTTCTCATATATTTCGAATTTAAATTTGTTTAATTTGATTTTCATATAAAAAAAAAGAAATGAATTTCAAATAAAAAAACTGCATCATGTTTTAGAATAGTTTAATAGTTGTTAATAAAATTTAGTTATTAAATTATATGTAAATTAAAAAACTTAAGACACAGGATGCAAAAATTTATTAAGTTTTCCCACGAATTGCAGACGAGTAAAATTAGATTAAATTTATTTAAAATTATCAAACAAAAAAGACACAAACCTCGTCATCTTTCCAACAAAATTTATAATTTCTTTCAAAAAATTTTTGCCAGAAGAAGATCTTGGCATGGGATTATTTTGCAAGCAGAATATTTCGCATTATAACTTATGAAGGACTTTAGTTTACAGTGACTTAGCCCATTTGTTGACCCTCAGTCTCCCATAATAAAAAGATAGTTTCATTAGTTTATAGTATATTTTAAAATATTTTTTATTAAAAAAGGAAAATATTATTGATTTCCCCGAATCCCATGCACATTAACGTTCACCATAACAATTCTATAAATTTTAATTTAAAGTGGAGAATCCATAAGAAATAAATCAAAATAAATGAAAGTTTACATTTAAAATACAACTTGGTTTTAATATTAAGCATAAATTAATTTAATTTTTTTAAATTGAAAAATTTTTTTAACTTTGTTTCCAAAACTCTACCAAAATATTATTAACTTTTTATTGTAAATTTTTTTTTTTTATAAATTTAAAATAATTATAAAAACAAAAAGTTCATTAAGCGATTGTAAAAGTAAATTTTATAAAAAGTAAAAAACCTAAAATAAAAATTAATTTTTAAACTTTTTCTTTAATTAGGCGCATATTTTTTTATGTAGTAAATGCCGAAAAAATTAAAAAAACATAAATGAAAAAAGAAATGAAGATTTTTGAGGAAAATTACATGGTACACTTTATTAGACATTTTATTTGATTCATTACCTCACTAATAAACTCAAATACACACCAATGAATTTTACACAAAATCAAAAAATATAAAATTATGGTGTACGAAAAGATACATGTTGGGTAATATTATAAATTACAATAAGGCTAGTAAATATATGGTTGTAATCTTGTAATGGTTGCGATTAAATCGTTATATTATTAATGTTTTTATATTGTGTAATATTTCGTTAAAGTGGAAAATTACAAACAAATTGAAAATAATTAGTGCTATTAGAGAAAAAAGAACTTTAATTTTGTAAAAAACACAAAATATATACAAGGAACATATAATATCAAATTTATAATTAATACACATACGTATGTGCTCGTGCTTATTAAAATTTAAGAATGGTCTTAAATTTTGAAGAAAAGATCTATTTGTTTATTCAGCAATTTAGTTTTAATTATTAAATAGAGTACATTCCATATTAGTTTGAATTTAAGAAGGGTGCTCTCACATATCTCCCCTTAATTTTTTATTAATTGTTCTCACTATATAGCTAATAATATTAAAGTGATTTAAATTAAGGTAATCACAAAATGCAATAATTGTATTAAAAAATTATGTACTGCGCCGAAATGACAAGAATCTATATTTCTAATTTGTACACTGAATATTTCAACATTATATTAAAATTAAAATTTTTAAGTATTTTGGAAATATATTAATAAATTCAATACAAATTACATAGATAGTTACATACACATTTACCTTGCAGCACGGAAGTATAGAAAAATATTTTCAAACTTATAAGCACATGGATTGATTGCAAGTATACCCGTGATTTCAAAACTTGATGGAAACACTAAATTTAAACACTTCTCAGCAATACAGTTTTGCTGAAATTTCAAATGCAATTTTAAGGAAGTAAATTTTTCGGACTCTTAAATTTTATAAGAATTTATCTTTTTCGAAGTTTGCTACAGTTCTATGTACAGATAATCGAAGTATTTTTAAATTTTGTACGAACGTTTTGTCAATTTTATATCCATAACATTTAACCTTCAATAACTTGCCTAATATTTCAATACAGTCAATTTTAGATTTTTGTTTTTCGCAATCGTAACAACAAGTATAATTTTCTTTAATTTTAACTAGATAATTTGACAAAATTATCGAATATTAAGTTTTTTACATCAATTTAATATTAAAATATATTAAAAGTCCAAGAGCAATAGGAAAAATTAACCAAAGAATAGATGAAAAGAATTGCTTATAGTCATCCGTAATTGCATAAAAATTAACAATAATACTTAATTCAACAATAACAATAAAGTGAAAAAAGCCAACTTAATATGAAAAAAGTTTCCATCACATGAACTACACAAATCATAACTGCCAATGATTACCTGTGAGCAATATTGTAAAAATCACATTACCTGATTAAATATGAATTTCCTTACAAATTTTCGACTGAGTTTTTGTTTAACTTTTCATTATTTTTTTCTTTTTTTTTCCGAATATTTGCAAATTTTAAATTTTAATTTCATCTTTAAAAAATCATCATCTCTGCAGTTAATGAAATTACGTAAATTGTGTTTGGTGTATAAAATTGCAAAAATTAAAACCAAAAAATTTTTTACTGCTATTATTTTTTTTTCATTTTAAAATTCCACCACCATATTTATTGTCACAATCATGTATTTTACCATATTTAAAACCATTAAAAATGCTATTTTTAATTTTTTTTTGTTTTAAAATAAAAAAGATGCAATATGAAAAACATGTTTAATAGAGACGATGATAAAAAAACAAAAAAAAACTATAGAGATGCGCGATTATTAAGTGATGATAAAATTATAAGAGATGGTAAGGATGCGCGCACACCAATCTATAGGAAACTATAAAAATAAATAAAAAACCCACAAAACAAGAAAAACATTAGAAGAAATTGTAATAGAGACAAACAACAACATAACATGATTTTTTTGTTTTTAATGAAAAACCTGAAATTTCATAATATTTTTGTAAGGATTATTTATGTGGCTTGACTAACATACACAAATTAATGTTATACTACAAATTATATACATAGACGATAGGTAAAGCTAATAGAAAAAATGAATAAAGAATTGAATATAATGTCAGAAATATGTAAAATTTATATATTAGACTTCTTCTGCTTAGGCAAATTTATTTCACATAGCCCAATAATAATATACGTAATTATAATATGAATTTTGATTGCAATTAAATCGTCTTAATTTTATATTTTTATAACCTTAATGATTTAGATCTGTTCAAATTTGATTCTACTGCAGAATTGATTAACAAATGATTAACAATGAATAACAATATTTAAACAATCGTTTCTAATTTAAAAAATTATGTATGTCATAGCCTACATTAATTTATATCTACGTATATTTAAATGTACAAATTTTATTGCATCCGCCAGTATATAGGTACGAGTGAATCTAATTTCTTTATTTGGGTATTTGAAAGCTATTGAAACAAAATTTTCTTTAAATTATAAAAAGTGAATATTAACAAATAAGTACTTTTTCTGTAATTAATTTTACAAAGAATATTCGAATTCATATCAAAAATATTTACATTTCGCTGTCATATTAGTTGTTACGATAATTTCATACAAAATATACCGTGACTCCCAAAATGTAATAATGAAAGTTTCACTGCAGTACCAAAATCGTACCAAATCTACTTTGTAACAAAATATATTTTGAATTAAATTTCTGCAGTAACTATAGCAGCGGGAAATCATATGGCCTCAAAATTTCTTATTTTATCCTTAAATTATTTAAAAACAAGATTTGGTAATATTAGTTTGATGTGTATATAAAAAGCAGCGAACTTTTTCGGC